AAGGTGGGGCATGACGTGCGGAGAGTAGACGAGGCGAGCGTGGTGCTGACGTGGAAGGGCAACCCCCTATTGGCCATGATGGCATGGGAGCCGCAGGAATGACGGGATGGGAGGATGGCACGTGGTAACCAGATGTGCGTATTGCATGGTTACCACATGACTGAATAACTGATCTGATGGTTGCGTCTACCACTGGACTGGAGAATTGATGGCATGGGATGAGAACGTCAGGGATAGTGGTTACCAGATGGTTATCCTGTAACCAGATGTGGGATTGCATGGTTACGGTACCACAGTACTGCAGAACTGTTGGCATGGGATGGGATTGAAAGAAATCGCAGGGAAAGTGCTCGCTGGGAGCACACGTGGTAACCAGATGGAAAGTCATGTGGTTACTGCAGGACTATTGAAGACGTACCGTAGCGTGGGATGGGATGGGAAGGAGCGCAGAGGTAGTGAAAGGTCACTCGGGTAACCAGATGAAGGTATGGCTTTAGTGGTTACTGTATGAGGGATGGCGTGCAGACCACAATAATATTGCAGTGATGTGTGCCTGGCTGTTTATATAGACGTTTTGCCAAATTGCTGTAATTATACTAGCATAAACAATTTATCTATACTAGTGACTATTTATTCTGCTTCAAGCTGCAGGGATTGAACATTTTCATGGTTTGCTTTGTGAGAGAGTGACTATTTCTATCGTGGTTGTAACAAGAGCAATATCTCTCTCCATTACCTTCATCCAATTCTCAAAGTCTCCTATTTCCTGTAGAAAACAATTCAAGCACCACCACAGTATAACATAGCGGTAGTGTTCACATTGCGAAATACATCAAAGAAGGGGAAGGGGGGAGGGGTGGGGGGGAAGGGGGTGGGAGGAGGATGGCAGGGAGTGAGGAAAGGACAGGGTGTGTGAGTACTGTGAGAAGTTATCACATTCCATGTGCATGAACATGTGTGGTGTTTAAACATCTAAAAACTGCACATGTGTGTCAGAATGCCGCCCATTACCCAATCCAACAGCTTCAAGCTTCAAAACCAACATATGATGCCATTTTCTACACTGTCCGGAATGTAAGATTGAAGATTTCCATGAACAGTGATCAAGGTTAGCAGCTTGAACTCATAATTGTTGAATGCTGCGGCCCATCTTCTGTGTTGCTCCTGATACCGCCCCACCTCAGATACCACCTACCCCAGCTTTCCATGAACAGCGATCAAGGTTAGCTGCTTGAAACGATGGCTGTTGAATGCTGTGGCCCATGTCTGGTGCTGCTCCTGATTCCGTCCCACCTCAGATACCACCTTCCCTGGATTTGACCTTCATTGCTGTATAAAGGGGGCTGGATTGCCTTCATTTCTCACCTTGATTGCTGTGTGAAGCTCATTCAGTGCGGTGCCCCACTTTCTGTGCTGCGCCTGGAAACGGGACACCTCAGAAACCACCTCCCCCAGCTCCGCCTGCACTGCTTGCACGATGTAAGGGCTTACCTTGATTGCTGGATGGAGCTTATTGAATGCTGTGGCCAATTTCTGGTGCTGCTCCTGATACCGCCCCACCTCAGATACCACCTACCCAAGCTCAGGTACCACCTCCCTCAACTCAGATACCACCTCCACAAGCTCTAACCGTGATTCCCTTCTACAGGGGCTTACCTTGATTGCTGTGTGAAGCTCGTTCAATGCTGTGGCCCACTTTCTGTGCTGCTCTTGAAACCGTCCCACCTCAGATACCACCTCCCCCAGCTCCACCTGCATTGCTTGCACGATGTAAGGGCTTACCTTGATTGCTGTGTAGAGCTCATCGAATGCTGCGGCCCCATTTCCAGTGCTGCTCCTGGAACCCCCCCACCCCAGATACCACCTCCCCCAGCTACGACCTTAATTGCCTTTTTTCAGGCTCACCTTAATTGCTGTATGGAGCTCATTGCTGTGGCCCACTTTCGGTGCTGCTCCTGGAGCCGCACCACCTCAGATACCACCTCCCCCAGCTCCGCCTGCACTGCTTAAATTGTATAAGGGCTTACCTTGATTGCTGTGTGAAGCCCATCAAATTCTGTGGCCCACTTTCGGTGCTGCTCCTGGAACCGGGACACCTCAATCACCACCTCCCCCAGTTCCGCCTGCACTGCTCCCTCCTGCCTCACGGTCTCCCTCACACCCGACGCTTCACTAAGTGTTTCTCTTAGCGCTGCTGCCAGTGGCTCTGCTGCCGCCAGCGATGCCAGTCTTGCCTGGACTGAAAGTAAGAAGGGATGATTTGCGGAAAAAAAAAAAAGAACAGGGAGGACAGATAAAGTGGGCTTTTTCATTTCAGCACTTAAGAGATGATTATTGTAAGGCCACCAAAAACGTACGACTGCCTCCAGCTCTGACTAAGCACCTCCCTGACACCGGAAGCCTCGCTAAGTGTTTCTCTTAGCGCTGCTGGCAATGGCTTGGCTATTGCCATGAACGCCAGTCTTGCATGGAAGAATGGCAAAAAAGGGAAGTGAGAAGGGAAGGGAGAGAATGGCAGAAAGGGAGAGGGAAAAGGGGCGGTTGTTGGGGGTTTGGGAAACTTGAGCATTCTAAACTGTTTGCTTGAGCTGGGAGTTTAGGGGTGGTGATACTCGGAGCAGCAGCAACGAAAACAAATCTTACCCAGTCGTTCCTGTGTAATGCCCTCCTCCGCGTTTTCCGGCGGCGCCTTTCTGTCGCTTCGCGTCTGGTACATTCTTAACTGCCACTGACGCTTAGGAGCAGGAAGCGTGGATTATATTCAGCAGAGGATATCCAGGGACAAATATTTAGGAACTACTTACAAACGTCTAGCTGAAAAATGCATTGAATTCGCCACTGTTGACCTAAGAGACCTAATTCAGATGCCGAGGCGCAAGTTACGATGGGCTCCTGCCAACGGTCACATGTTGGCGAGTGTTGACGAAAGCTTGTGAGTGTTACCAGGATTGTTCAATTGCTCTAGCAACTTGCATAGCATAAAAACTAGTCTCAGGAAAATCACTAGCAGTTGTTAGCCATTCGTTTGTGGAAATCACAGCACGTAACAATACAATCTCTACACTAATTGAGCATTTCCTTCTCTTTCATATGCATGCACAGGGATATATACGACTGTACTGTAGCTTGACAGGACTGCACCTGGCACCTGCTGACACTGAACACTAGGGCATGGGGCATGGCGTGTACGGTACTCAGCAAATAAATGCACCCCTCCCTTGGATCTTCTCTATGATGCTGCAGTGTAAAAATAGACTGACTGGATCCCAAGCAGCATTTCAAATCCTCTCTCTGCAACAGGAGAATAAAATGGTACAAGAGTTGGAAGCGGTTAGACCAACATTTTAAAGCATACCCCAGTGTAACCAGCCGCACAAGAGCATGGAAACAGATAATGCGAGAAGAACGAACCTGCGAGGGAGCCTAGAAGAGGAATCGGGTGAACAAATGATCGAATGCCTTCTAGAGGATGCCTGCAAGCAAGCATGGCATGAAGGGACAAGTAACACAACAAAATGCGCATTCGGTTCAACTTATAAGGGGGGCAAGGGCAAGAAGAGGAATCGGGCGAACAAATGATCGAATGCCTTCTAGAGGATGCCTGCAAACATGGAAAGAAGGGGTAAGCAAGAAAACAGAACCCCGGTTGAGTAAACTTGTAAGGAAGCCGAGAAGATAAGTCGGGCGAAGAACAAAAGATTGAATAAAAACAGAACCAGCTAATTATGGAATCAAACCAGGGTTACCTTGTGACGGCATCGAAGCAGGGCGAGCGAAGGAGGTACATGACTAGCAGCATGCATGACGTGTGAGGGAATCTAGTCTAGACCCCCCCCCACAGAAGGCCACAGGGTTACCTTGTGACGGCATCAAAGCAGGGCGAGCGAAGGAGGTACATGACTAGCAGCATTCGCCGCCGGGCAAGCTGTGGCAGCAAGATTGGCAGGGAGGGAAAAAGCGAGAGGAAGAATAGGCCACATGCGAAAAAAATGCGAGGAAGTTGCAAAAATAAGGATCCCTCATTACGGGTCACCAAGGCATTCAAAAACATGGTACAAGCGCGCACACACACATACGCACACTTCCAAACATAGGCTGTTTGCTCGTAACAAAAAAAAAACTAGTACTCACATTGGCTCGCTCCTTCTGTGCCTCCCTTACCTCCGTCCTTCTGACATCAGCAACTGTAGCAGCAGCACCAGAACCAACAGAAACAGCACAGCTACCAGACCCATTCACAGCATTAATCCTTCTACTTACATCGGCTCGATCCTCATCCGTCAGCTGAAACACCTCTGTCTGTGCCTTCCCTCCATCCGCGCTGCTGCTGGCATCAGCAGCTGTAGTGGCGGAACAAGAATCAGCAACAGGAGAACAAAATTACAGCATTGTTTCTACCACTCACATCGGCTCGCTCCTCATCTGTCAGCTGAAACACCTCCTTCTGTGCGTTCCCTCCATCCGCGCTGCTGCTGGCATCAGCAGCTGTAGCAGCAGAACGAGCAGCAGCAGCACCGCAACCAGACCCCTCCGCAGCAGCAGCAGAAGCAGCTGCAGCATCAGGGCCATCATTGGCAGCAGTAGAGGTAGAAGCAGACGTAGAGCGATCAGCAGCCGCAGCAGCAGCGGCGGCGGCGGTGGTGGCAGACTGAGAGGCGAGGCGATGGAGGAGGAGGGAGGCGACGTCGAGGGAGAGGGAGAGCAGCCAGGGGTTCCATCGCACCCACCACCACCACCACCGCCTGCCTGGTTGCCCTGGTAGTGGTTTCACAGCGGCACTGCCTGGAACGAACACACATGGAGATTCCAATGGAGGGGGGGGAAGGGACCAGGGCAATTAGAAGCAGCAGCAGAAGCAGCAGCGGAGGCAGCGGCAGCAGCACGGGAGGCGAGGCGATGGAGGAGCAGAGAGACAGCGTCGAGGGAGAGGGAGAGCAGCCAGGGGTTCCATCGCACCCACCACCACCACCACCGCCTGCCTGGTTGCCCTGGTAGTGGTTTCACAGCGGCACTGCCTGGAACGAACACACATGGAGATTCCAATGGAGGGGGGGGAAGGGAGCAGGGCAATTAGAAGCAGCAGCAGAAGCAGCAGCGGAGGCAGCGGCAGCAGCACGGGAGGCGAGGCGATGGAGGAGCAGAGAGACAGCGTCGAGGGAGAGGGAGAGCAGCCAGGGGTTCCATCGCACCCACCACCACCACCATCTCCTACCCGGCTGCCCTGGCAGAGGTTTAAGGGTTGTTGTCCCTGGAGTGAAGAGAGGTAGAGGGAGAGTTAGAAGAAGTGAGGGAGAGGGAGAGCAGCCAGTGGTTCCATCGCACCCACCACCACCACCACCGCTTGCCTGGCTGCCCTGGTAGCGGTTTGAGAGCTGCTGTGCCTGGGATAAACATACACGAAGTTAGCAGGGAGGGGCAGAGCGATCAGCAGCAGCAGCAGCAGCATGAGAAGAGGAGATGGAAGCTCTGCCTGCGGTTGTCCCCAAAATCAGACGAAGAAGAAAAAGGAGAAGAAGAAGAAGAAAAAAAAAACTTGGAAACAAAAAAAAAGGAACAAAAGTAACTTGTGTGTTTACTGCCTTACCTGAGGAGGACCGAGCTGCTCTATTTTTTAGTCGACTCAAAAATGTGTTTACTGCCTTGCCTGAGGAGGACCGAGGTGCTCTACTTTTGAGTCGACTCAAAAATATGTTTACTGCCTTGCCTGAGGAGGAACGAGCTGCTCTATTTTTGAGTCGACTCAAAAATGTGTTTACTGCCTTGCCTGAGGAGGACCGAGCGGCTCTGGCAGCGGCTCGAATGGCGAGCACGTAGAGGAGATGGGGAGAATGGAGAATGGAGAATCTAAGTGCCTCTATAGAGAAACTGGGAGGACCTTGAGGATGTGTTTTTTGAGAATTCTCAAAAGATCTCTAGCGTGTGGCTACCCTACTTTGTCACGCAGCATAGCGGTGTTTGTCCTCCCACCTGTGGAGTGGATGAGTTGCCCTCACCTGCTCTGGACCGAGGTGCTCTGGCAGCGGCTCGAATGGCAAGCACGTAGAGGAGCCAAGTGCCACATGACCTTGGGGAAGGATCTTGAGGACGTTGTGGAAGGATCTCTAGGGTGTGGTTACCCTACTTTGTCACACAGAGCAGAGACGTTTGTCCTCCCACCTGTGCCCTCACCTGCTCTGGACCGAGCAGCTCTGGCAGCGGCTCGGATGGCGAGCACGTAGAGGAACGGGCGGAAGATGTGAATGAGCTCTGCTGAGACGTGCATGCATCTGGGGGGGTGGGGAGAGAGAGGGGGAATTGTGAAGCGGGAGGGTGAGCAAGTGTGAGTCATGCTTCTGATGGCAAGGGTGAGCAAGTGTGAGTCATGCTTCTGATGGCAAGGGTGAGCACGTAGAGGAGAGGACGGAAAAACGTGGATAAGCTCTGCTGAGACGTGCATGCAGATGGGGAGATGGAGAGATGGGGAGAATGGATGGGGATAGAAGAGAAGGGGAGAAGAGAATGGAGAGACGCCTCATAAGTTGGGAGGTTTGAATGGAGTGACGGGCACGTGGAGCAGAGAGAGCGCAGAAGGCGAAAAGAACACGACAAAGTGGGATAGAGAGCAGTGCAGCAGAAGACTCACCGAATCCAATCTACTTGCTTTGACTTGCCCAATGCTGGACTTTGTTCGCCAGCTGACGTGGTGTCCCCATCTTCCACGCACGCAGCTGACGTGGCAGGCCCTTGTTCCACGCATGCAGCTGACGTGGCGCCAGCTGGAGCCTTCTCAACAATCCCGTTGGAGTCTGCCGCCTGTACCCCGCCTGGGTGTTCTGCACCCTCTGCTGCAGCGCTTGCAGCAGCAGCAGATGCGGCAGCAGCATTCCTCACACCACCAGCACCACCGTTTTGCTGTGCCCAATACTGCTGCTGCTGCTGCAGGTTACGTTGTTGCTGCTCATAATACCACTGCTGCTGCGGGTACTGCTGCTGCTGCTGCTGCTGCTGCTGCTGCTGCTGCTGCTGCTGCTGTTGGTACTGGTTCTGCTGGTGGTGCTGGTGCTGGCGGTGGTAATGACGGGAGTGCTGCTGCTGCAGCTGCTGCCCCCCCACTTGCCTTTGGAACCGTTGAAATGCACCCAAAGCCCTGGTCGTGGCTGCCTGCTGCCCATTCATGCCCCGGTTACCACTGTTACCACCGCTGTAACCCATTGGACCGGCTGTGTTATGCAGCTGCTGCTGATAGAGGGACGGCTGCTGGGCTTGTAACGAGGATGAAGTTGATGGGGTAGGGGAGGGTTTGCTGGGGCCGGGATTCTCCGAGCTGCCTCCTCCAATAAGAAGTCGCCACTTGTCACGGTGCAACAGAAGCAGGCGGATTGCGGCTCTGCAGGAAAGACATGTCAGCATCCCAGTCAGAACGAGAGAGTGGGGAAGTGGGAGCAGGAGGAGAATGGAGGGATGCGAACAGGAAAGGTGAGCGAAAGAATGAAGGGAGAAGATGAGGAGAAGAAGAGATTTGAAACTCTCTTTCAGCAAAACTCGAGTCTTGAGAAAAAAAATTCTTGAATTCGCATGTTCCCCTTTCAGATCACAAAAAACTTGGAAACTCATTTGGCTGCTTCAATGCCAGCAACAGCCGTCCACTTGCCCTCCTCTCCCAGCCATTGCTCTGCCGCCATCTCTCCCAACCCAACACCTCCCCCTCTTTCACCACCTTCCCCCCCTTCCCCACCCACCCAGTGACTCACTTGGCTGCTTCGATGCCAGCAACGATGCTCCACTTGCCCTCCTCCCCAAGCCACTGTTCTGCCGCCATCTCTCCCAGCACCTCCCCCTCTTTCACCACCGCCAGCACCAGCGCCCAAGGCACCATTCCCATTCCCCCCTTTCCCTCTTCCCCCTCCCCCTCTCCCCCCTCACCTCCTTCCCACTCCTCGCCCGTCCCCCTCCTCTCACCCCCTCTTATTTCCTCCGCTCCTCCCCCCCATCCCTCTCCCCCATCCCGCCCCCATTCCCCTGGAATTTGCCCGCCAGGGGGGAGCGTATGGGGAGGGGGATAGGGGTACGGGGAAGGGGAGAAACCAGTGGCGGGAAAGGGATGGGGGGAAGAATGCGGGGGGAGATTGGGATTGGGGGAAGAGGAGTGGGGGAAGGAGGCAGGGTGGCCGATCACAGGGGGAGGGGTAAATGCTGGATGCGAGTGCGGGTGGGGATGATAATGCTGTTGCTGCTGGTGATATTGGTGCTGTTTCTGGTGCTGTTGCTGGTGCCGTTGGTGGGGATGTTGCTGGTATTGTGGGAGCTGAATGATCTCTGGACTGTAAGGATAGGGTGGTGCTGCGGGAAGGTTCAGGTTCGGCGCATGGAGGTTCGGAGCGTTGTTCGGAGGGAGGTTCGGAGGAAAGCCGTTCGGTTGGAAGAGAGGGAGATTGCGATTGGGGTTCTGAAGAGCCAGTTGATTGTGTAATGGGAAGGAAGAGGGTTGACTCGCAGGCCTAAGGGAGCGGTTGCTGGCTTGGGAAGGGGCTTCAGTAGGAGCTGTCTCGATAATGTGGTCGTTTATGACGGAGATCACTCCAATCAATGTCGAGACTGCCACCAAAACAAGAACAAAAAAAAAGAGGTGAAAATAGTAAACCGTTGCCAAAAACAAAACAAGGCGCGAGCACACCTTGCAGCCTTCTACAATTCTGCAGAAAATACTCGAGAGAAACAAGAATGAGAGCGCAGGAACACAAAAAAACAAAGGATAGCTTACGAGCTTCTGGTGCGAGCTCTGATTCGGCCAATCGGTCAGGAAGGAGCCATGTCAGGGTCTGTGCATGTGGGGATGGAAGGAGGGAGAAACAGGCGGAGAGAGAGGACAAGAGAGGCATTGCAGTTGGGCTTCCCATGCAATCTCTATCTTCGTTTGACAAGCATTCGCACTCATCATGCGTTCTTCGCTTACATTCGCCATGCTTTTGCTTCACTCACATTCGCCCTGCCCTCGCTTCACTCACATTCATCATGCCCTCGCTTCACTCACATTCGCCATGCCCTCGCTTCACTCACATTCGCCATGCCCTCGCATCACTCACATTCGACATCCTCTCGCTTCACTCACATTCGCCATGCTCTCGCTTCACTCACATTCGCCATGCTCTCGCTTCACTCACATTCGCCATGCTCTCGCTTCACTCACATTCGCCATGCTCTCGCTTCACTCACATTCGCCATGCTCTCGCTTCACTCACATTCGCCATGCTCTCGGCCGACGACAGCCATTGTCGGTTTCGGCGAACCCAGTCCTTGTACGCATCGAACACCGCGACCGCCATGATCGCGACTTGCGTAGGCTGATTCTAAACCCGCTAACAAAAATTCTCAGCTACTCAATATCGACCTCAATCCGTGCACGCATCGAACACCGTCACCGCCATGAGCGCGACCTTCGGTCAAAATCCTGCTCTAAAGCTGATGTATGTCCGCACACGGATATCAAATGCTACTCGTTGCCGCTCCTCAGCGCTTGCACGCGACGGACACCGCCACCGCCATGACCGTGACTTTCCTTGGCTGCTTATGAATCCGCTAACGGATATCTTGGCTACTCAATATCGAGCCCAGATCTTGCACGCATCGAGCACCGCCATAATGGTTTCCTGCTTGTGATCGCCACGTTGGGCTTACGAATATCGTCTCGAAATTCTGCTACTCTCGCGAATATCTCGTTTCACCCGCTCCTATCCATCATTTCTGACAAGAAATCCTACCTAGTTGTGGGTGTACGTTTCTGCTCTGTCATGCACCTCCTAATAACAATTATTACCGCAGCAAAACTTCCTGAACACCTTGATGTTCCGTGTGTTTCAAGGGATCGGAGGATTTCACCTTGCGTTGCCCCTCATCGATCGCTTGTGTTCGGAGCAAAGCAAGGTGACGTGCGGTTCAGAGCTGTCATCACTTGTTTTCATTAGCAGCTGATTAGGCAGCTCAAAATTTGCTTCGTAACTATTTTGATTTTGGCAAGTTGGGTGGACGTTATCAAATATTTATATTAGAGACACAGCCCCACAGGCTGGTAAAATACTAATGCTAACAAACAACATGCCGGCAATCAAGCCATGGAATGACATCCCATGACCAGTAGCCACCATGCTGAAAAACAGGAGATGCAGCACCAGCCTTGGTACCGCAAAAAAGGAAAGATGAAACCAGAAACAGCACCAGCACCAGGCTAACTGGCACTGGAAAAAGGGTCGTGGTAGAGGGTACTACTGGCGTCCTTGAGGGTATTAAAGGGCTGAAGCACAGGAGACGCACACCCGTGGAGGTACACCAGCTGCCGCCAGTGCAAAAAAAACGGGTATCCACCAACCTTGCATTTCATCCTGTCACAACCATGATGAGACTTGAATCCTTCAAACCCATATAAATCTCAAGTAAGACCTGAAGGTGAAACCCCATGCTCAATGAGAGCTGAAATGAGATATGGAATGCTCAATCCGCGTGATTTTTTATTCAAGCGGTTCAGATTTGAACGCCAAGGAGGGACGGCCTGGGGCGGAGAAATTGATGGTAGGTTGGCTTCTGGCGGGGCTCCGGGGACGAAATCGGGGTGAAGAATTCGGATACTCCCGAGGACGAGCCTGACGACGACGCGGAGATGGAGCGCGACTCGGCCTCGAAGGCGCGAAGGCTCGCGAGACGCCACTTGTACGAGCTCGTAGCGTCTTCGCTAAGTTCGTTCTTGACTGGGAGTAGATCTTGGAATGAAACTGTCTCGCTGGTCTCAGCCGAATTCGTCGCGAAGACATCAGATGAGTCGCCTGTGCGAGGGATCTTCTTGGGATGTGTGTGGTCGGGCGACACAGCGGGCGACGAACTGGCCGACGCTGTCGCCAGGGCGGTGGTCGGCGACGGCGACGACGGCGGCGACTGCAAGCTCCGCACGACAAGCTCGAGAAGCGAAGCTGCCGCGTCGCGCTTGGCCTTACTGGCGGCAGTTGCGCTCCGCGCAGCCGACGTGAGTCTTCCTGCAGAAGGGCGATGATGCTTCGGAGACAGGTTCGGCTGTCGAAGCTGGGTCAGAGGCTCGGCAACATTGAGGGCCTGCTCGTCACAGGTGGTGGTCGAAACAGTGTCGTTTGAGAGTTGCGCTACGACAGCCTCCAGCTGTTGCGACTGCTGTTGCGACACCTGCGACTGCTGCTGTGACTGCTGCTGCGACGGCTGCTGCGACGGCTGCTGCGACGGCCGCGACGGGAACACCTGCGACGCCTGTCGCGGGAACACAGCTCGTCGCGCGTGGGCGAGCCACGGGTGCGACATCACACCGTCGATGTCAGATCTCTGCGCAGGATCGACGATCATCATTCGGCAGATCAGATCCCGGGCCGCGATCGACAATTTCGCCCAACCCGCGCTCCGGAAGTCGTTCGGGGTTAGCTGACGCCGGTTTCCGGGAAACGCGGGCCACGTGGAAGTAAGCATGGAGTAAAGGAGCACGCCTAGGGACCACACGTCGGCCTTGGTGTTATACGGCTGCTCAGCAAGCATCTCCGGTGCTTCGTAGGGCATGCTCCCACCGATCCCAACCATCGCGCACCCTGGCTTCAGTTGAAACGCCAGCCCGAAATCCGCAAGTCGAACGGACAGATTATCCGCGATAGAAGCAGAGGAGGATCCGGTTGTACCGGCGGCGACGGTCATTGACTTGGTGAGAAGGATGTTCTCTGGTTTGATGTCGCGGTGAACGATGCGGTGCGCGTGGCACCATCGCACGGCGCGGACGATCTGAACGAAGATCTTCGCTGCAGACGCCTCATCCAGGCCGTCGCCTGAGCGGTCGACTAGATCGAACAGATCCCCGCCATTGCACAGCTCCGTTACAAGATACACGGTCTTCTCATCAGCGTACACATGTGCGAGTGACAAGATGTTTTCGTGGCTGCCCAGAAGCGACAGGGAGTAAATTTCCCGTTGAAGATCCGCCATCTCAGCTTCTGACAGACCCGCGGTGCGAATCTGCTTGCACGCCATTGGCTGACCCGAGGCGCGATCCACGCAGCGCCATACCTTGCCGTACTGACCCTCCCCAATGATGTCGCTGAAGGCGAAATCTTGCCAGAGCTGCGACGAAGGCTTCGGCTGCGGCATGATCGTCGGAGCGTGCAACTGATTAGACAATTGCGATTGGATTTGTGACGGATACTCGTACTGGGGTCGCATGTATTGAGAGTGCTCTATGAAGAACTAATCGAGATGAACAACCTCTGAAGAGATGAGGATGGGACCAAGATATCTAAGAGACGGAAGACAGACGCCTAATATATCTCAAGTTGGTGGAGGTTGATTCCTCCTCCTCGACTGCTGCTGCTGGGAAGAGCGGGTAACTGACGCGTTTCTTGGTTGTCGTATTGCGAACGGATCGCTCGCTAAGGATAAAAGGGACCGTGGCGGCTGCAGTGGTATTGCAACAGCGACTGAGGCACCAACGAATCGTTGGTAAGATTTAAAAAAAAAAAAGAGCACGCGTGTAGCCACGAATATCGACCAAAGCACCTGGAAGAAAACTGGTGAAGGGTGCAGCAGCAGCGAGCAGCCAAGGGGAGGTCCGCAAATGGCAGCGGCAGCGGCATCCCTTTGGCAGTGCGAGACAAAGGGTGTGGTTGAAATGGCGCATCGCAAACTGCGCTCCCTAAGGCAAACTTGCGCGACGCGCTGGCAAGCGAACTTTTTTCAACTCCATCGACCAGGCTCGCACCGCAGCTAGGGCGACCAAACCTCGTCCAAATGGATCAACCTACATGCGCTTCCTAGATATTTTCAGGCTGCAAAAGATGTATATTTATGTTACAGGTGCAATTAGGTTTTACAGCCAGAATCGCGGGATTACAGTTTGGGGTTTCGATCCTTTCATCAAATACAAAATTTGCGACGCTGTTACGTCACCTCAGTCTGGTCGCGCAGACAAGGCTTGTCTTATGCTGTTTCTGTTTGGTCTGGTATTTTATACGGTGTAAAATTAACTATATCCCGTAAGGAACTAGGCACACTTTCAATGCATCAACCCTAAACACCTTGACATTTCCCGTCTTTAGGGTTGATGCCTCCTGAATTGCATTCCTGCCTTTAGGGGTTTATTTTTGTTCAGCCCCTGCTTAGATTCAGAGCTCCGTATGTGTTTCAGAAAATCGCGATTGACACGCGGAAAAAAAAATACATGTAGACAAAAAACGTGAGACGCGCACGAAACATTTTTACGCCATCAGAAACAGACAAAACAACCGAAACTTTGTAAGGTCACGGCAATGTAGCCACAATAGTGACCTTGCTTTTACGAAAACACGAGAATCACCTGGCAAATATTATCTCACGTGATACAGTGACAGTTTGGAAGACCACCAATTCTTACATATTGAACTGGCTGTCAATATCACGTAAGCGCATGTAAATTGATTCATTTGCGAGGGATTTGGTCGCCCTATCTGCGGTGCGAGCTTGGCTGATGGGATTTAAAAATGTTCACGCGTTGGCGCGTCGCGCAATTTTGCCGCTCTCTAATGTTTGGGTGGAGTGTACGACGCGCAGAGCAGCAGCAGTTCGTTCCTCAAGCTGCTCGTGCATTCCCCATGTCCGAGTTCCGTGCGTGGAGCAACATTTTGTTATGTGGGAACTAGACAGATTATTTAACGTTTGAGTTAGGTGAGTACTGGTTCAAGACGGTGAAAGTGTTTGACCACTCTGAGAAGCACCAAACCTCGAAAAGCCGTTCCAAATTTGCTTGAATGAGCCGAGACCCACACCCGCCAGGGATGGGCTGGTTGGACCTCAGCGATTGGTAACCGGAGCTTCTCGAATACTCAACGAAATAATCCGCCAAGTCATAGCCAATCGCCAAAGGCGCGATTCTGACACAGCCATCGCCTTGGGGGTGTGTGGCGTTGGCATGCGAACGGATTCTTTCCGCGAAAACGACGGGTGGAAGAGGGCAAGGAGGAGGAGACAAGCCCTCACTCGACTCATCCAACCAATCCCAAAAGAGGCAGTGCATGGACGCTGCCAAAACAGAACCGAGTCGTGCGCACCTTAGCCGTGACGTCAATGGAACAATTTTCACCAATGAATGTAATGTACTACTGTTCTCTCAAATGTAATTGCATACTGCTCCCGCCCAAAACTCTCGCACTTGCTGTAAGACAGTAAGGATGTGGCTGAAGTTGCATTTCTAATGCTGTCCTCACCTGTCTTCGATTTCGGTCTGGTCCAGATTTTCTTACCAGAATCTTCTTCGTCGCTTGCCAAACCTGCAAGTGTTGCACTTATGACTATGTCAAGAGGTATCCTTTACAGCGAGGCGCGAAAAGCAGCCAACGAGACCTACAGTACGTGGCAGGTTCATGACGCAAACCGTACAGACATCCAATGGGCATGAGCAACGACGACAAAGGCAGGGTCTCTCGTTTCTGTACACCAATGACACATCTCGTTTCTGAGAGAAGCGACCACACATATATTGTTGATCGATCCAGCCTGGCGTGGCGACCTTCCCCGTCTGGTCCGCCACCACCAAACAAACATAATCGTAATGTGGCTGAGGAAATACACGGCCTAGGCTGAAACTAGCTTATCCACATTACTTGTATGTGACATTACCAGTAAGTGATATTTTAAAGAGCAGTACAGTACATCGCACAACGAAAAAACTTAATATTAGAATGGACTAAACTACTTGCGGAAGCTTTAGTAGTCTTAGAGCCTCCTCCTAAAGCGTAGGAATCTTATGAGCCCACTTGGGCATGAACCATGCTAGAACCAAAGTGGTTTTCAATAAGTGTTGTTCCAACAAGAGAGAACCCTAACCTATAGGGTTTGGGAGGTGGTCCACTCTAAAGAGTGTACACCACAAGTTCTCCCAACCCAACCAATATATTTTACACTACTATAGTGTAGATGTACCACTACATATGTTTATTGGAGCAACCCGAATTAACCTTAATTCCAACACCCCCCCTTGCTCCAATAAGCATTAAAGTTCACCCATAAATTAAAACACAACCCCTCCAGCGAATGAAGCCTTGGCCTTCGCAGCCATCACTCGCATGCCGATGAGCTCAAGGTTCTCATGCAGTTGCAAGCTTGGGAGAGCTTTGGTGAGCATGTCGGCATCCTGGAGGTGGGAGCGTACGGAGTGCACTTCGACCTCCTGCTGGCGCACCGCATCCCGTACAAAGTGCCATGCCACCTTAGTGTGCTTGGTGCGCTGATGGAGAACGGGACTGTGGGCAAGGGAGACAGCAGCCTCATTATCACAGAGCAATGGAATAGCCCCCCCATCCCCCCAGCCTCATTATCACGGAAGTAGCCTGTGTAGCAGATCTCCGCTGAATGACCGAGGGGCCACTGAGCTGCTGCAGAGGGGTGGGCTGCTGCTGCACCGACACACTCAGCGGTGCCGGTGGCGGTGATGAATGTGGCATCTCAGCGTCGTCAACCGTTGCCGAGGGTGGCGAGAGTGGAAGAGGGAGGAGTTGGGAAATCTCAGCTGCATCCTGCAGAAGCTCTCCACATCCCTTTGCCTTGTCCCAATCATTCCACATCACATTCTCAAGAAAATTAACATCCCGAGCAATGCGAACGCGCATGAGAGAAGGGTCCAACATGCGCCAAGCCTTGCTCTCCAAGTCCACCCCAACACAGACACACATGACAGCCCGTGCATCAAGCTTGCCACCCTTCTCATGCCCATGCAACATGACCCTCCACATGCAACCCCAAATCCGAGCCATGCCCACATGCGGCTTCTGGCCGGACCACGCCTCCATTGGTGTGATGAAGGCAGGCAAGGCACTGTGGGTAACCCTGTTCTTAACCCACACGGCCCACATCAATGCTTCACCCCACAAGCTAGCAGGGAGACCACTGTCGACCAACAATGTGCGAATCCCCTCTGCCATCGTCCTGTGCCACCTCTCCACCACCCCATTCTGCTGCGGTGTATCTGCAACGCTCAGTTGAGTTTTGATGCCAAACCCAACCTTCCATGCTTTCACAGCTTCCCCCAAGAACTCGCCACCCCTGTCTGAGCGAACAACCTTCAGCTTCCGCCCACACTCCAACTCCACGTCCTTATGCCACTGGCGAATAACTTTTGCGACTGTGGCTGATTCCTTGTTGGGGAGTGGGAACGACCAAACTCGTCTGGTGAAGTCCTCAATGAGGCTGAGGACATACACCGCTCCTCCCAGTGACGGTGTGCGCACTGGCCCCCACAAGTCCATGTGGACCTCATCCAAAGGCCCAAGTGCCCGAGACGCCTCATGGGGAAACGGCTTTCGAGCCGACTTTCCCAATAAACAAGGCTCACATGGAGAGCAATCAGTGCTCCCTCCCCTAATCTCCAAGCCAAGTACACTGCTCCCCCGAACCATCTGTTGCAGTGTCGTGGGGGCGGTATGACCAAGGCGGCGGTGAGCAAGGGTCAATGGAGAAAATGAGGAGGATGATCTAGCTGCAAGAGCACTGCCCTGTGTACCCCGAGCAAGAGGAAGAGACATCCGCACCAATCCATGGTCCCTTTCCCCCTCCTTTTCTCCAATCGCCAACACCCTCTCTCCCCGTTTGATAACACATCTCTTGCCCTGGAATGTGACGATGATATCCTAAGAGGTGAGGTGTGGGACTGACAGCAGACGTGTGTGCATCTCAGGCACAAGGTGGACCTTTTGAATCTTCAGCAGCTGACCTCCAGCACCAACCACTGGCACCTCACCCATGCCAACAGCTTTCACCACCCGTCCATCTCCCAATCTAACTCCCCGAATCTCTGGTGGCTCAAGTTTACTCTTAAAGTCTGATGCAAAAGGAGTAAAGTTGTGGCTGACCCCACTGTCAATCCACCACCCCTCTCGCGGCTGCTCCCCTCCTACTGCTGCAACTGCCTCTCCAACCGCTACCTCTGCCTTGTCATCCTGCTCCTCCTCATCCGCCACCTGTGTCTTGCCATTGGACCCACGACCTCCCCTCTGTAAGAATGCCGG